CCACTTCATTTACTGGAAGAGCTCGTTGTTTAAACTTCGCGGATCGGATGCTGTTATTTTTGTTTTTGTTTGAAATTCTGCCTGTTTACCCTACGTCATCCTTAATTTTGATTAATTCATAAATTGCTACAAAAACTTTACAAGGTGAATATAATTGTACTGTTTTATAATAATCATATTACAAAATTATAATAATTGTTATTTTTATTAGCTTTAAAGTGTATTATCTGCTTTACATACCTTCGCGTATTGTCGAAATCAATAATTCACGAAGCATTAACCCTCCGCATCGTATCGCTACTTTGCTACAAAATAAAACGGTATCTCTATTCAATTTCGTTAAAATTCCTTTCAAAAGACGTGGAGCAGTAAAAACGAAATTTATTAATCGTACACCAACAACGTTAGCAAAATAAAACTTATTGATTAATTATGTAAGTGCTGAGCTAGCTGATTCTTCATTCATTTAAATAAGAAGAATAAAAAGAACTTAAATAAAAAGAATATTCTCATAAAATCTTAATCCTTTTAACACTCAAATCCGTAGGGGCTAAAAAGAAATAATTAACATGTATTCCCATATCGAAAGAGCTAAGCTTTGTTTGAGCTCGGTATTTTATTGTGCGACCTGGTTTCATTACGTCACGTAATAGCACAAGGTCTGCTTTTAATATTTCCCTCTTTTCGGACCACAGCTCCCTCACCATTGGAGCGTTTATATCACTAATACTGCCATTTTCTTGCTCCTCCGTCACCACGCGTCTCGAGCTATCTATCTTTGGCTTAACTTAATCCTACTAATACGTTATTTTTATAATACTCCCATTGCGACACGTCCATTAGCTGATCCTTTATGAACTACGAGGACCGTGCCGCTTGTCTCTCTGTAAGAATTTACTTTGTATTTCCTATGTTCATAATGAATAAAATTCATATAAAGAGGTATATAAGTTAAAAACTATTATAATTGTTAAATAATTTTTAAGTAAATTGATACATATAATTCCAAACCAGTAATATTATATGTTAATAATGAGTAAGTTTTGACAATTTTTAAACTATTTTATGATTCTACATATTTCTCACAGTTTGTGATAAATGGCAACACTTCAATTAACAAGTTCATCTATTGTTATCTTTATATATTTTCATTTTAAATTAATAAAATATTATCCCATAATTATTATATATATCGGATTTATTACACAATTCCTTGTTTTTACAAAGAGAGAGACGCCAGCCTCGCACACGTAACAAATGTCACTTCTTCTAGAACGGTCCACGATATTTTAAAATGAAACTCCAATTGTTCTTAATGCTCCTGTATTTCTCGGAGGTTCTTCATAATAACATACTTCAATGATACGCACTCACTGAACTCTGAATTTTCAATTCTGAAGTCTCAATTCTGGAGTCTGCCGTCGTGCGTCCAGACGTTTAAATCTTACAGTTATAAATCTTTATCTTACAGTTTAAATCTTGTTATAAATATGAATTTATAACAAGATTTAAACATAGTTCTATTCTCCTTTTAAGCAACCTTTGATTTCGTTTTACTTTTAACAATATTCATAAATACTAATGAGGTTTAATAAGAATTAATGACAGCCTCAAATTATTTTAAAGTCGCATCCGTTATTAAAGCTGATAGCGACGATATATAAATTAACAGTTATACCCAATAAAATTATTCGTATCACATAAACTTGTAATTGGGTAGTAATATAAAAATAAATAATAAATAAAAATTTGTTTATTATTACTGTAACTTAAACCTAGAAACAAACAGCTACAGCTAGGGAGCTCCTTTTAAGAAATGGAATTATCTTGTGTTAGGAGTCCCCGCTCTTCCACAAACGGAATCAAATACATAGAGGTAAAAGGTAACATTATTTTACAAATTAAGAATAATATAAATAGGTAATATATGACTTAAATGTAGTTTTAATCATATAACGCGCATGTATGTTTGTGTGTGTGTTTGAGAGTGTGTGTGTGTGTGTGTGTGTGTGTGTGTGTGTGTGTGTGTGTGTGTGTATGTGTGTGTGTGAGTGAGTGAGTGAGTGTGATAGTCAGTTGTAGTGTTTAAATAATTACATATAAGTCTTCAAATATTTATGCAGTTATTTCCAATAATTTTTCAGTTTCACTATAATCCAAATCCTTTAAGTAGTCCTTTAACTTTTTTTTACAATTATACGTGTTCATAGCAAAGATGTTAACTTTACGATTAATTTTAGCATACAAATAAGTAGCTTGTCTTATGAATTGATTTCTTGCAAAAATAGTTTTTGCCGGAGGAAATGTGCAGGTTAATTTAACAATATTACGTCTCTTAGTTGACACTTCAGGGTCAAATTTAATGGACCTGTGCACTTTTACGATGGAGAGCAGAACATACAGTTTTCTTACTGATAGAATGTTTCCATGTTCGTAGAGTTCGGTTGTTGGAAATCTGTATGACTTAAAGTAACTACATATGTAGTAAATGTTGTACATATGTATATAATATATGTAGGTATTATAGTAAAGTAGCAAACGCTTCAAACTCCATAATCTACAAATCAGGTTTAATTTACGACTGAAGCATAAACTTGAATGTTTGCAGATAAATTCCGAAGTGTCTGCTTAACCGTGCATCACTTGAACAAATGATACAAACACCTTGACTAAGCATGCTTTTATGTACACAAACATGCCTTTGTTATTAAATCTTTAATGAATATTAACATTAAAATATATTTACTTTGTTTCTTTTACAAGCTTTATGGTATTTTAAAAATATGAAAAAAGTACTATATTTTTTACGGATATTGTTGGAATTCCTACATTTTTTTCTGCCATGTCGATATTAAACTAAACGGTAACCATACGGTACGGACGCCTGAAATACCGGGGTGTAACTTGCAGGTTACCGAAATCTTCACTTATTTGTGTCATTGGTCAAATCATTACATTTAAATAAATAACTTTTATTGTATGATAAACTATATGAGAGGTACAAAAAAAATTGCAACTCAAAAAAATCTAAATAAAAAAGATAAAAATTAAAACGAAATTTCGTCAAGGTACATACCTGCCATAACATTGGTTTAGTTATCAATCAGACTTTCAGTAAACAAAGAAGCTTGTACAATATGAAAATAATAAAATATGCCTTAAAAGTCCTACCTGAATTTATAACCAATCAAAATCATTATTAAACCATTTTCATTATACCGCTACCTTCCGTATCATAAAGTACTCACGTTAATACAGAACACATAACTGGGATTCAATTAAGATATAGATATGGTATAAAGAGGAGCTGGAGTGCCACTTGGCCAGATTACATCAGAACATTTCATCCTGCATACAACTTTCCTATAAAACACGAGCTGAACAGATTTACATCAAGTATGATTAGTAGGGCATTAACAAGTAGATGAGCTATAATAAGCCGATCAAAGCGTAATTATTGCCTGTTTCGTTTATACTTATCCTTCCCAAAGGGTTATAAATACATAAATTGAATTGAATTCCCAATGAAACCTTCTTATTATACATTATTTAAATATCCATCATTCACAGTAAATATGAACCGAATGAATATAAATTCGTTTCAATTCGCATAACTATTACAAATTAATATTATTATATATATGCAAATATGATATTTCATACAGTAATATTAATAATTGCATTGTTTTTGAAACAGAAATATATAAGGAAAAACAAAAGTTTGTCTTTTTACACAAAAGTGCTATTATTATGATAATTTGCTTTTATAAAGATAAAACATTAGCATACGCCTAAAACTGATTTCATATCCATATATTTCATAGGGTGGATAACTATTTCATTCCTTGAATATTACGACTAAATTATACCCAGCTTATCTAAGTATGGGTATATTCAGTAGGTTACAGTATTTATTTATAAAATATATATCGCTAATATTAAATTAATTTGGATCAGCCTTACTGCGCGAATAGTTTTAATTGAAATCGACCGAACGTATTTGCGAGCTCGACGTTTTGACGCGCAATGAACGTCGAAACTATGTAAATACAGCCTCGACTTTATTGAACATACGTACATTCCAGCCAGCTTAAAATGAACTGTTTATAAAACCATTTAGTAAATTGAAACAAGAGTTTAACTAGATTATTAAAATCATAACCATTCTCAACTCTCAGGCATTCCTCGTGTTTTTGCAATAACAAGTGAGAGATTGAGTTAATTGTCTAGTTAATAAAACGGGTAATAAAAATAAACGTTTGTTTAGAAAGATGAATCAGGGCCACAGATAGGAGAATGAAGAATCAATATTGATATATATATATATATTAATAAATTAATGTTAATGTTAATAATAACTGTCATATAATGATCTCCTACAAAGGTTTATAAACAACAAACGCTCTGTAGTAGGTCTTGCCGCCCCAGGGGATAAAGAATTACTCTGCCTGAATTTGGTATAGGATGGGGTGAACAGTTGGATAATAATGATATCAATTCTCACAATAAACTCTCTTCACCCAGCTATAGGCATTATCAAGTCTGCGATTACTTTCATTTCTGCAATCCATTATTTTTTTTATCTTATAATAAAATATTTTACATTTTTTTGAAAATACTAAATTAATAATATATTTGAAATGAATTAAAAATTCAATTTATTAAAATCTCTTTCAATATATATAATTCAAACAATTCGATAAAAAAAGTATTTATGAATAAATATTCTTATTGTTATTTTTACTTATCAAAAAGCTGTATGAAATCACTTTTAAAAATTATATCGATGTATAATTTAATAAAAATTCGACAATTCACTGAAATCAAAAAGTAACATAAAAATTACATAATCATTCCAGCGAAATACAGAAAATTGTTAATTCTTTTTAACGATCCGATTTAATTACAGACGCATTGAAACCATTATAGCAAATTATCATACAATTTTACCTACGAACAGAAAAAGCTAAACTTCTTTAATGGTAGGTTATTACGGCTTTTTATTTTGGTTGTTTTGTTACTAGCGAGATTTTCCCTTGGGGTCGTTTTTTGTTCTTGTCTCGAAGTAATTTCTTTTCGAATCCGTATACGGAATAATACGGTAGTGGCATCACAGTTGACGATACTGGCAAAAGATCTGAAAATAAAACGTCTTTTTAAATCATGTGTATTTAATATAAACCAAACAAACCCTTCTGGAATGGTTTAGAATTACAAACATTTTTCTCGTAATGTACCCATATATCTCGAGAATGCGTGACAGAAAAAAGGTGATTCAATAAAAGACTTTTCATATTCGGTATAAAAATATATAATTTAACTAAGGTGACCAAGTTTGATACTAAATTTTTTGTATACATCTAATAAGTGTTGAAGTTTGTAGCTATGATTTGAAAACCAAGATGTTTAAAGTATCAATTACAATTGAGGGTCCATACGTCTGTTTGAAATAAGCGTCAGAGTGTGTAGTCAACAACTATAGCCAACACCCGTTGGAAAATCTTATGGGCCAATTGTAAATCCCTGCACCGGGTCAGTCTTGGTTTGGCCATAACAGGGGAGAGGAGTTGTTTTCGTTTAGCATTAACTAGGCTCGGCAAATGGCCATAGAGGCGGATATTTTCCAGATTTGCAAAAAAGAAAAACGTATTTAAAGGATTTATATGAGCTAAACCCTCTAGTGTGTCTGCAATATGGCCATGGTGCAATACCGCCAGTAGTGGTGAAGTCAGTGATACGTCTCGCCAGCCCTCATTAGCAACCTCTCACACGCTTGATAAGCATGTTAGTCAGTAGTCCGAGAAGTCAATTTCGTTAGCTGAACCGCTCCTTAGGGCGAAGCTGGAAAGAAGGACGTGGGAGTACACCCGCGCCTCTATCAGCTACAAGCGCCTCTATGCGTGCTTTTACCAGTTGTGGTGCTGAGTAGTCTTCAAACTCTCCTCAAGTAAGAGCATTGTATGGGCATTCTCTTTTCCTGGAGTGCCTTTATAGGGGGGGGGGGGACCAATTCCACCTGGGGCTTCCACGAAATGCAAAGACGATCATTGATGTCCCAAAACGGTGATACGTTAGTTATTTTATTAATTGGTTTCTATATACAATAGAGGGTTAATTAGTACCGTGCATGTCAATGACAATCGCGGTCAGCGCATCTTGGCCGGTTGGTACGCACTAATATATTATTTACAAAGTTATAAAAGTTCTTCAGTATACTGTCACTACAAAATACTAAAAAAGGGAATATACATCTGCATTGCTGTTTATTCTTGAAAGATCTGAACATATTTGAATATTTTTTATTTTCTGTGATATTTTAAGGTGACTTTTACAGCGGTCAGTAGAAAACAGACAATATTGAGTGTATGTGAAGGAATGCAAATGTTGAACTAAGTATACTAACGTATACAGTTAAATATTCAACCATTTACATAAGTGTTTACATCGAAATGCAATTAGGAAATAAAAGAAATTTTAACCACGCTATAACACAAAAGCAACCGGTCTGTTACCGCGACAGAATTAGAAAATTGTTTGTTTGTATGAAACCTTCACATATTCGAACTGTTTATTTCCCTCGGAAGCAAACATGCTGCCCCATGGAATAATGAAATTGAAAGATATAACCGGGCATAGGAAAAATATTTGTGTCAGATGTTTTTTTGATTTTCTCATGATAACCTTTTCATTTCAAATACTAAATTATTTATTAAGTCAGTGGTGGCCTAGTGGTTAAGGGGCTCGCCTCTCGTTGCCGAGGGCGCGGGTTCAAATCTGGCAAGTACCAATGTGATTTTTCGGAGTCATATGTACTTTCTGAGAGTATATAGACATCACTGACATTCGGTGAAGGAAAACGTCGTGAGGAAACCTGGACTTATAGTTTCACAATTATAAGTTTGAAATCACCAACCCGTCTTGAGCAAGAGTGGTGATTAATGCTCAAACCTTCTCTATGTGAGAAAGAGGCCTTTGCTCAGCAGTGGGCGTCTGATAGGCTGATGATGATGATGATGATGATGCTAAATTATTTACTTACTTAAATTTAAGGACAACGAAATATTTTATTTTGTCATCAACTCTTACAGTGTGGAAATACAAAATTATCGGGAATATTGAAATTGTGATAGAGATTGTAAAATAAAAAGTAGTTGTTTATTTTTTAAATGCACATCAATTTCCATCTCAATTGTTTAATGAAGTTTATCTAAGTCTAAGAGTCAAAAATGTCTAAAACAAACGAATTTTCATTTATCGAATATTAAAATTAGTAATAGATTTTAGTTGAAAATAAAAAAAATACCAAATAAACAAATCACTTTTTTACAACAAATATTAATAAATATATCTTTATAAAAATATATCCTGATTGTTCGAAGCTGGTACAACAGGAACTTACACGTTTTAATGTTTTAACAGCTACTGGTAATGCTGCTATTCCCAAACTTCAGCGATGCGAACGTTTCAGCTTTGTAAATTGAATATTGTTGTTTTTAAAGTTTTACTCGCTCGCGAAAGTTTTTATTGCTTAACTTCCTAAAACTTAATACATGCACTATTAAATGTTTACTTATTAACATGTATGTTTGATATCAACTGGTAAAACTTCACACCAGTTGTAGCCAACTTTTCGCATAAAACTACTTGAATGCACTGTAGTGTTTAATTGTTATTAACTTTATTATAAATATGAAATATACAGAAATACTTTTGCTTGTATTACAAGTGTTACATTTGAGAATTAATTTGACTAGAAATAAATTCATATAAATAATGAAGAAAAGAGAAATACGACGAAAATTATATTTTTATTTAAGTTTTCTTCAAATCACTTTGACATTGCTCAAATGTCAATAGCATAATTTCTATTTACGCGAATGTATGTCAATGTAAAAGTATGTTTAATAAACACGCATGTATTAAAAATGCCTGTTTTAATTAAGGACTTTAGCGAATATTCATTTTATTTATGATATGTTATTCGGATTACGATGAAATATAAAAAAATATACTAATTTAATAATATAAAAGGGGTGAAATATTAATATATTGCTATTCCTTCTTTATTGCTACTTTTTTTGTGGTGGGGGATATAAAGGATGAAGGTGATTTCTTACCGGAGATTATTTACACTCCGCGAATCCTAAGTAAAGAACATGTAGTTGCTGCAGTTACGATATGATAAAACTTAAAATAAATTGGTCATTGCTTTTAGAATATCAAAATATTTTGAGCTGTCCTTTGTAAAAATTGAAAATATTATCGAATTTATCAATTCTTATTGAAATAGACAGATTTATTATTTAGAAGCTTATTTTTATATGCACGTTGCTAAGAACATTAGTAGTGTTAAGTAACCTAATGAAGAAAATATCTTTGCTCTGACTTGTTAAACTAAGTCATAATAGGGACTAGTTTTTTATTATCCTTTGTTAAGCAAATATGAGGAACATTCATTTTAACCTTACATTAAAAAGTTAAACTCAACCATTGATAACAAAAAAATGGAACTAGGAGCTTATAATTCAGGTGTACTTTGAGCCAACATGAATAGATTACTATATTTTGTTTGAAATTAAATCATTCCTGATTTAGACCATCTGAAACAATAGATCTGCCAAGAAGAAGTGTTCATAAATTTTAACGATAGATGCTATTATTTGTAAAACATAGAGACAAAACTTCTCATCATTCCATGGGACTTGCGATCTACATATATAGGTGTAGGTTTAAGGAGCCCCTATGATGAAATGATGTAAGTTCTGGAGAGACAAAAGTCTTTTAGTAGGTTGTAGAGAGATTTAGCTGTTATACCTCTCACTTCTCCTACTATTAACTGTTAATGAAATTGATGCCTTGACTTTAGCTCTGGGACATTTTTGGCTTTTGAGAATGACTTTTGTTAGACCTTTGATAGCCTTTTTTACCTACCTCGCCTAGCCTAGCCTAGCCTACCGAACCAGCCGGTAGCTCAATCCCTATATTCAACACCTTTATGAGGCCTGCATCAAACTTTGCCAAAAGGGTTATATTAAAATCAAAGACGGGGTAAAGTAAAGCCAACCCATACTTGTTTTTAGGTAAACTACCTGTCGTAGACCCAAGCTTTCTTTGACCTTACTGGCCGGGTGGTTCTACTTATCTTCGGTATTGTTCTTAATGCATGTGTCCAATTACAAATCTTATCCACCTCATCCAATAGTACTTCACAGTCTTTGGAGTTACGCGTCCGTATTGCGAAATTGTCAGCGAATGCAAAAATTAATTCAATATATTAATTATTAAACTTGAACTGATAACCCTAAGTTTCGTTACTTATTACTTTATCTACTAGGTTATTAATCACAACATTAAATATGATTAGAGATAAACGACACCTTTGAAATAGTCTCACACTGTAACTCAAGTTTTTGAAAGGCCTTCGTTAGTTATTATAGAAAACTTTAATTTAGAGTAATATGACGCGATTATATCACTAACTAGGGGTGGTAAGTTGTACCATCTTAGTTCGAATAGCATTAATAGAATATTGATTCTTAAGCAATATTTCTTCAATACCCAAGAGAAAATGTAATATATAAAATAAACTTTTATAAAATCTCCTCATGGCTATAATAAACGATTTTTGATATATAATAATCAATCTAGGAAGTTCGTGGTGGCCTAGAAATTATAGGATTACCTCTCGTGCTCGAGGGCGCGGGTTCGATCCTGGTATGTACAAAATGTGATTTTTCCAAGTCATACATATGTACTTTCTAAGAATATTTAGACACCACTGACAGAGACGGTGAAGAAAAACATCGTGAGGTAACCTGGACTTATAATTTATAATTACAATTTTCAAAACAACAACTGGTTTTGAGCAAGTGGGTTGATCAATGCTCAAACCTTCTCAATGTGAGAAAAGGCCTTTGCTCAGCAATGGTCTCTGATAGGCCGATGACGATATCACTAATTTATGTAGTGTGGTTTCGAACACGTTTTTTATCTAAGTCTATCCAACAAACTGTAATTTAGCTCCCGCTTTTTCGAGCACCTTTTGACCCCTACGACAAGAAAATTTTATGTTCTAATTCTAATCTAAGCTAATTCTAATCTAAGCATTCAAAAATCCGGTAAAAATCCTTTCTGATGATTTGGCCTAAAATACTTGTTGCTAAATATGAATCGCTTGATTTTGGTTTGATCGGGTCACGGTGCAGATTTAGATGATTTTCTCTTTATATGACTACTTATTTCCTCTAGCGTTGATGGAACGCCGTAAAAGTCGATACGAGAAATTTCAGATTTCTGCCCTTCGAAGTCCATATATAGTCTAACACTTTCGGGCACTTCACATGTGCTTTTAAAGTGGTAGTAAATTTTTCCATTGGTTTCTACATTCAGTTTTAAAAAAATAGTATAGAACAAAAGGAAATAATTTTCTTTACTTCTGTTACACTTCTTTATGTCATCTTGACTACAAGATATCCTCTAAGCTAAGCCGTGGCTTTATACGAAAATAGGATACTTTGATAGGACAACTGACTAACTGTGAATTACAAGCAATTCTACACTACTGCTTTTAATATTCACGCAATATTTTATGAGAAATTTAGAGATAAGTAAGACAGTAATCATTTATAAGAACGAACATAAAAGTTTTAATTTTTGTCATATAACTATTGATTTCTTATACTTTTTAAGATTAAAAATAACTAAGGACAAAGATGAAGACTTTTAAAGAAAAAAACAATAACTTAAATTTACTAATATAGACAAATATGATTTATAAGGCAGAAATTATGATTTTAAGGTTCTTTTTACAAAATTTTAATTATATCTGAAGCATTGTTAATACATTTTCATTCAGACATTAATTGACTATGATATCAAGCAGCAAAAATTTAGCAGAAGGTATATGAGAATAATTGTTTTCATTTTTTCTTTACATTATCTATCACATTTGATTTTAAAAAAACTCTCTTGAGAGGAATAAATTAAATAAGTCCTGGTATCGCAAAACAGCTTTATATAAATTCGAAATCTTTTTTGTATAATAATCGTATATCTTTTTTATTTAACAATAATAAATCTTTTTTATATAATAATAATATTAAATGTATATTTTATTATATTTTTAATAGGCTTGATAAGAAAATAGAAATTTTTAATATAGTACTTTGTCAATAACAGAATAACCAGTTTTACTTACGATTCAATGAAATTAAGTTTCATCTGGAGAAAAATATTTTTCTAAATAGGTTCCAATCCGTAACAAAACTTTACTTCTATATTAAACCTTGAATTTGGATGTCAGATTTCGATAGTTTGACAGATCTAATTATAATGGCTACAAAAAAAAACGTTGTATGTGGCTAAATCTGTTCCAGATAAGCAACATGTCTTGTTCAGTAAAATAATAATGTTGTAGAATGATGTAAGAAATAATAATATCACATTTCTTTATTCATATTTAATAAAACAAGCATAGAAATTTTCGTAGACTGAGATATTTCTAGAACATTCCAGAGTTTACTATTCTATTAAAATAACAACACATGAATTTAAATTCTATTAGAAATAGAAGATTTAAGTTTAACAATAATTTTAATTTTAATTGTATTGCTAGGATTAAGTGCTAATGGATAAAGAAGTATAATATAATATTGGGTAAAGAGCGCCGTACATACATATTTTAATATCTATTGTGCATACTTTTAGAACCTCTAATTTATTAATTATAACATAAGGACTGTAAAAAGAAATCTCTTCAATCATTATCTTTCGAAGGCATAATTAGTTTTGAACAAATAAAATATATAAAGTAAATAGCATTAAAGTAATACCAAAAACTGTCAACTATATTGTCATATCACATTTATAATTTAAATAAATACGAAAAAAGAAACTCATTTGTATCGAAAACAATTATAACTTAACAAATTTATATAAATGAAAGATAAATAAGATATTAATATTCAATAATATCATAAAAATAACAATTATATTTTTGGATAGCTCGAACAAACTTCATTCTATACGAATAATTTTATGTTTTCATATAGAATGGGGACTTGTTGTGAAAGTTGTGACATAAGAACTCCTTGGGCATTCTTGACCGTGGCCTACAGGCACAAGGCCGGCTGCATTTACCGTAACTACATATAACTGCACTCTCGTCTCGACAAGACTATGATAACCTTCAGAAGTTATTGTTTATCTTTCAAAAGAAAACAACATCACGTGATTATATAACATTAATTTATTGTTTGGTATATCATTTTTTGTTTATAATTTACATTTATTAACCATTAACAATTTTTTTGTGTAAAAGTTAAAAACTTATATCTTGTTTGTCTAAAATTTAGACAATAAATTTAGACTCTATATGTTACAGTAACAGTCTTATTACATTTTACTTCCTATCTTACAATGAGTGATTAAATAAACAAATATAACGTAGTAATTCTATAAGATTATTTTTAAATACTTTATAATTTTACTAGTAAGTTAGTCAGTGATATCATTATTACTCATCATACAAACATAGAATAAAATATAAAAGACGTGGGTGTTGTATTTTAAATGAAGGTAAGCCATTATAATAATTAAATTAAAACATCGTATCGAATAAATATGTGTTGTTTCATTCTTTTATGTTCTCTTCTTTAGCCGGCGGGCTTTTAATTACTTACTCCTATTCATAAACATCGTTCAAACAAAGTATGTTTTGAAACATATTAAAAGATAATTGGAATCAATTGTGTTTAAAAATAATTTACTTTGATAATGTAAACGATGGATAAGAAAAACATTACAGATCTTATTAAATTGCTAAGACATATCTCCATTGTTCAAGTTATCAAAATTATATTAAATCAAAAGTAAAAATATAATCTTAAAATTCCTATTAAAGAATAAATCGTGCCTTCGACAGTTTAAAAGATTTAAATTATTACTTACTTGATTTTAATAGTAGGTTTATAGGTATATATTTATGGTAAAAACTTTTCAAATCCTTTACCCGAAACAGGTTGCTCCTAAACAAAGCTTAACGTGGTTTAACACAGCCGTTTGTTTCTCGTGATGTGACATTTTTAACTATTACGTGAATGAGCCATCGGTGAATCGGATAGAATACGTCACGTAGAATTGAAGTAACCGCTGGCTGCTGTTTGAATTTTAGAGTTTCCCTGTCACGCTACTGATTGATACAATATGTATGAGGGTATGATATAGAACGCGATTAGTGAATTGTAACGTGAGATAAATATACCAAATTTGGTGATTGTTGTAACTAGTTGATTGCGAAATTAGTACACCTTATACATATGTATTCGCATTTTGAAAATAAATTTATGCATATATTATATCTATTATAAATTTACGAGTTGAGTCTGAACTTTGATTCTGTTGGAATCGTATTAATGGAAACTAATCATTTAAGCTTTGAAAGAAACAATGTACATATTTTATAAGGGATTCTTAGAAACTGGTATAACTCATACATTTATTTGTATTCTTTTCTCTCTAGGTCTAAGTAATATTAGAAATAAGTCAACTATGGCAACAAAGTAATCAAACTCTCTGTGAGTTTGAGAATCAGTTTTCTTTTGTATCCTGTCTACAGTTTACTAGTAAAAGAAAAGCAAAACTGTGCAAACAGTTCGAATTAGTGATTTGCTTACAAACTTAATTTTTGAGAGAAAATTATATATGAATACTTAGTCAAATTAAGTTCTTGAACGTGTATGAAGAATGATAAGCGATTAAATTTTATATAAATATACAAAAAAGTATGAGCTTAAAAAATGAAACCATACCGAACTGTTAGCGTTACCAAAATCGTATACAAAATAGTCTGTTGTAGTTTCAGATGAATATTTTCATAATACTTTAGCGTTACCGAACTAAAAATAATTTGTCTATTTTAGCGGCGCAATATGTAACCTTAGTCTTTTTTGTAATATACTATATTTTTGCAATAATTTTTTTACGAATATAATAGTTATACATCCCCATTTATTTTTCTAAATAACTAAACCACAATAAGAAACTCATGTTTTTTTTAACTTTAACTTAACCAGTATCAGCAACACCGATTTTAATTACGAATATGAGGATAAATTAAGAAATACGAATGCTTTTGTATAACTATGTAACTCTAATCAATTAACATAAAATCACAGAAGAATTGCTATTCCATTCTTTGAAACATTTTTAATATAATATATTTTTATTAAATTATTTGAAAGTGCAGTTACAACCTGCGACGCATGCGCAACTTCAAGGCAACGTACTATACATATATATTTTAAATATAGCAGTATTATTACTTACTTGTTTACCTTCCACTACTCGAGAAGTGATGTAAACAAAAACCGTAATAATTTTTTTTGCGCATTTGTTGGTAAGTATATTAAGGATTAATGAAAATTATCAGTCACTATCCGATGTTATAACTATTAAAATATTGATTTTATAATTTCCATCGTTTATTTTTATATCATAATCGTTTGCAATATAAATGACCGATGACATGAACAAACTGCCAATATATTTGTGATCAATACTTATTAGTTTATCCATCGCAATATAAACATTCAATGGAATTGCGAAATTTATGTCTTTCATTTTTATCTGAAATTCGTGTAACATTTATTTAAAAAAAATATAAAAATACAAAAAATGTACAAACACTCAGAAAAATATTGAAATGCGGACCAATTGAATTAATAAATTGTTTGTTACATATGATAACAACGGAGGAAGTAATAAAAAATGATGTTTTTCATATGATATATAATAAAATTTATAAACTATAATATTATATATTTATCTCACCGGGTTTCAAAACATTATCAGAGTCGCGCCGGTACAACATGCCGCTGCTCCAGGTGAAAAAATAACCGAACAACATGAGAAACATGTAAAAATTCATTCTTCAAATGGCACGTATATACCAGGATCACAGAACTCGACAGCGGATATATTTCAAACTGTATTTATTTGACAGTGTTCCGTGTCGCGGCGAGCGGTGTACTCGAATAGACTCGAATAAAGTATCGAATGTATCGGTGACATTCTGATACGGCCGGCTAGCATTGCGATATCGAAAATCTAATATGAATACTCTTTTGCTGTAGACATTCTAGGTATACTGTACTGACATCGTCGACTTCAAGATAATGCAAGATATGTATCTCATAAAATTGAGGAATCTTGGACTTTCAGTCATACTTCACATCACACTTGGGAAAGAGGGGGCTCTCTACCCATGTAAATTCTCTTCATCTTAACTCTTATTCAAATTATCAGTTGGTCTGAACAATTTGAACCTTTTAAATAGAATCAGCGGGAGTGTCATTTTTATTTTACAAATATCATTTCATATAAAACGGTGGTTCCTAATATATACAATGCATATGAATAAATTAAAAAACCTCGGTAATATACAAAAAGAGAAAAGCAGTTGTTAACTTGCAAATATTTATTATGGCCTTTAAGCTCTTCATGTAAAAGGTTTTATTGTGTTTGCCTTCCTTCGAATTTATTGTTGTGTAAATATGATGAAGATATTTTTTTAGATGAAGATATTTATAAACTGAATACATGAAGTTATTGAAAACTTTATCATTCCATTTTTAATGATAAAATGCAATATAATCATTTCTTTATTTTTTTATAATTTATTAAAATCGAACTCGAACATATACTCGTAACATATACACCTAATATAACAATAGTACCTATTCAACATGATATTTTATATTAAATAATGACCTTAATATTTGCATTATATTCTTCTCGAATATATAATATTTTTTATAAAAACAGTTATAATGGAGTAATACCATTTTCGGTTTGAAGCAGATGAGATCATTACGAGCTTACCTACCGTGACTCAACGCGTGGGTGACGATGATACAACGCTTTACAAAAACATAATATTATAAAAATTATAATGAGTATCCATAGTATTAAATCATTAGGTATTATAAAAGTAATTCAATTCATCTTTCTAATTACTTTTAGACTATTATATTGATTAACAATAGACCCAGCTCCTTTAAATTTAAGATATGAATGATAAAAATGGTACCTATGTCAATTTTATAATATCTACCGTCATCTACGTCCATACATCGCAGCATAAAGTATGTTTCAAATGCGTTGCTATATTTATTGGAAGGAAAGTTAAAAGTTTAAAAAACACATAAGTTTAACAAAACAAAAGAGTATTTACAAACAAAACGAAGTATAATTATAGTCAGAGAATATTCATTGTTAAAAATTTCAAAAAGAATATTCTTATATTAGTTCTTTATTTTTTTTCAATTAAATCCAGTTTCCCGGCACGTAGCATTAGAGCACTTCCTTTTAATATGACTTCTTAGCGACACAACGCCTTTATGAAATCTAGAAAGGCTAAAATATCACCTGTACTGTATTAATATGCTACAATTATGTTTTGTATATTTTTGATATGTACCGTAAAAAGATTCATAATTTCATATTTTAAGTTTTCCTTTTACAAACACAAAGCATAATGAGAAAAATACTTATTTTTGTACACCAGTCGTTTATCTTAGACGATATTAATTGTTAGCTAAAATTAACTCGTAATATTATGAAGTTTTTAAGTAGATTACTGCATTTTGATTAACCAGAACTAAATTGGAAACTTTGGACAAAGGCTAGGTTACAATAATAAATTTTTTCGAATTTTATGCTTTATATGTATTTCAAAGATTAACTATACTTATATTAGGTTTTGAAAACAACGATTATGATTTTCATTGACTTCTTAAGTATCCAATAAAAACCTAATTTAAATTTATAAAAAGTATTGTCATGTTTTAATTTTATAAGCTTTATCGATACCGGTTTTTTGGTATTTACCGAAAAAGGTTTTAGCTGCTGACGCCCTGACCTTAGTAGCTTATAAAGTTCTTTAATTAAAAATGTGGCCGCTATACAAAACACCCAGCCACAATAGACAAGCATTTTGTACAATATTAAAAGGAATTTAGGTTTCGTTTTCTCTATATATATAATTTGTTACAACGGTAAAAATAAGAAAAAATATACTTTACAGAATTATTTATTAAAAAATGTACATTCAATAACAATAACAGAATTATTAATTAAAAAATGTACATTCAATAACAGATTGACACAAATTTTTAATTTTAGATGGAGAACCCTTTTATTACTTTTGTATCAGTGTTATTTATTCACTTATTCTTATTTATTGTGTCATATTATATTAAAGAAACGTGATTTTTATCAAAATAAACATTTAGTACAGCTTTGAATTTAGAATGAGATATGAAACCTAATTTTATCATTACTCTCATAGCCTTAATTTATTCTTTTAATTGTAAGCTGCTTAAAGAAAATTTCAGTAACCAAAAGAGTTATACTCGTATCATAATGACAATAATAATAATAGAATACGAAAAAAACATCATATTAGTCCTTTTATTTCCTACGTTATTTATTATTGGAATTTGATATTTTCCTCCTCCCGTCTAAAAACAAAACACAAAATTGAAAATATCTGTAAACCAAAAAACAGCATTCTGCAAAGGGAATTTTAGAAAAGTCAGCCTACTACGTGCACATCCATTTCGATTTGAAAAATGACAACTTTTTTTTGTTAAAGCTATAAAGAAATTTTAAAATAGGCTAGAAAAATTATTTATTATATAATAAATATATTGCAATATTTGTTTTTAATTAAATCGAAACCAAATCTTTTGTTTTCACCTTCTGTGGTGTATTTTCAACAATTTTTCCCATATTATCTGTGACTACAGGTGCAAATAACAACACTGTGGGGAAGAAGGTCTCCGTTTCACGTATATTATAACCAAGCTAGCAAGATCTCTCAAAATTACAGAAACGTCTCAGCAAGGTGGAGTTTCGATAGTCACCAACAGGGCTGGAATTCCTTATTAAGTTGGTACTACCCACAGTAAAATGGCCGTCAAGGGAAATAAACTGTGTAGCACTGAACTTATAGTACTATATAATCCAGTTCATAAACACATGAGCGAATATATATAAGTAGATATTATGACGCCACAAACACATTCTACAATTTAATTCCTTATAAATATTTTAATCCAAAACAACTTCCATAAAATATTTAACGTTATAAGCTTCATAACTCTTAGACAAAATTATAACAAAACTCTGTTAACCATGATTATAAATAATCTATTCAGAACATATACCGAACATTTTGCAAAATACATATCTATTCTGTCATTGGAAAAAGTGAGCTGGTCGTATTGAATTTAAAGTTTAAATTAGTTCGTACACAGGGCATTCTCACTCTCCAAAATGTAATGAAAGGCGAACTAACATTTTTATAGGGGTTTCAACGACTCTCGTAGCGGAAGCGAACGTTTTAAGGAATCCTCATCCTATTAGATGCGGCGTAACATATCTCATTTTATCTGCAACAACTATCTTTTTCAGAGAGTGCAACCTTTATTCATTTATATTGAAGCGTGAAAATAAAGAGACGTATAAAAATGAGACTGGATTCACTCAGTTTTACGAACTTTGTTTTATAGGATAGCTTTATGTAAATAAGACAAAGTTAGTGCATTTGCATTAACAATTTTTAAGTAATTTCCCTAACTACTTTATATTGTCTTTTGTTAATGATCCAACGTTGGCATTTAGTTTTTCTAATTTAAGAAAAACTTAAAGAAACTGCTAGAATAAATATATATATATATATATATATATATATATATATATATATACATATATATTAAAATTACTTAATGTTTTGATACAATCTCAATTTGAAGAATATTTTGGGTTTTTATAAATATGACAGAAAATGCTATATTTATAAGCATGATAAAAAAATGTTGGCTTTACAACCGATATAATATTCTTCATAAATCTCCAAGGCCCTAAACAAACACTTCACAAGTAAGACGAATTATCCAAACGTCAATCGATAAAGCGTTAGTTTTTTCTCCAAATATATTTCCAATTTTTCTGGCACACACCGCAAATGTAATAGCGACTATTTTGCGGTTCTTTTTCTATTTTTTACGAGCGTACGTTCGGTATTATGTCGACATGTGGCCAAGAGGTCGGTTATTATTTTTCACATGGCGTTGATTTCACTGCGGTCTGCTGTTTGACTTATCTTTTCTGATTTACGATTTTTTGATCATCGGATATCGAATCTGTCATACTTTAATATATGAATTATATCGTATCAAAAATAGTTTTTTATATTATTAGTAATTTATCGTCTGTGTTTTCTTACTTTAGGAATGTTTCTTACATTTTGAAAAATGTTCAAACCATAATAGACCTAAATGAAAATTAATAAGAATGGTACATATTTTTATGTTTATAATTAAAAATATACAGGATAGAAAAAAGCAGGAGTGATGTAAAAAGACCTACAGTTGCAATTTGCATACAAAGCGACGTATTTGAGTGGTGCTATATGAATATAATTAGCTATATTAAAGAAGCTTTTAGCTAGTGCACTATTCGTAAATTCAAACTAGAAATATGAATAAGGCACTTGTTTAGAAGCGAGCATACATTTCATTCGTTATATGTGTATTAAAAGTATGTACTGAGTTTGAGAGAAGCTTTCATACGAAGCTTTGGTTCAGATTTGAATATGTATAGGCCAAATGCAAAGTATTGGTGCTGTATGAAAATTCTATGATGATAAATAATTATAAAAACATACCTTAATGTAATTATTCTTTAGAAGTCCTATAGGATATCTAAAGAATTTTCTTAAAATTTATTCAATAACCATTTATGCTACTGACATTAAAAGTATCTGCGAAATTGTTAAAAATCATCACATAGCTCCTTAATAACATTTCTTAAATTAATAAATTAAATCATCGCACAATACAATATGTATATATATCTGTGTTA